GGGGGGGGGGGGCAGGGGAGGACCATGGGCAGGGAACAAGCTGGTGCTAGGGCAGGGGAGGGGTTGCTTTTCCCCACACACTAAGCACCAGCTTGTAACCCACCTCCACTGCCAGCCACTGTGGGGGTGAGGCCAGGCAGGCCCTGCTATTGCAGGAGCCTGCTGGGGCTTCCCCTGGGTCCTACTGCCCAAGGGACTCAATGGAGCCAGGCCACCTCCCCCACTCCCTGCTGGTGCAGCCCAGCCCAGCTCCACAAACACTTGCCAGCTTGCACCCTGCTCTGGCCCTGGGACATTGGTCCCAAGATGATAAGCAGAGGGTGGAGCACCCATCAAGGGGCCAGGATACCCTTGAGGCCCTTGACAGCTCACCAAAAAACTCATTAAGCAGCCCTCCAGCCAAAATAATGGTCCACCCCTGTACTACACCCATCTACTCAAAATGCCTTGGGTTTTCCTAAGGCCAGACAGTCTTTACGTTCTTCCATTGGCTTCCCCCTTTCCTACCAGAAATGCTTGTATTCAATTCTCCTGCATCCCATCCATCCATAGGTGGGTGATAGAGGCTGACAACTTATTTAGCCAAGTACATTTGTGCTTTCTCCTTTGCTCTTCCCCATGCTTAAGAAGCTTCCCATTAACATCCACCAAGCTTACTTTATCCTTTTCAAGAGCCCTCAAAAAAATCTCTCCCCAATGCCTACAAAAACTAAAAACAGGCCAGCTAGGGTACTGAGATCACACCAATCAGTAGTTTCACTGTCTTCTTGTAGGCTTTCTTCTCTTTTCCATCTGTTATGATGCTTTGAGGCAGGGATTGCATTTTTGTTCTCTGCTTGGGCAGCATCTAATACAGCTATGCCCTGGCTCCTAACACTATTTTATTAATCATTTGTACTGCCATACAGAACATTGTGGATGGATCAAAAATGTTATTGGCTGTTCAAATTAGAAAAGTAGTTACAAGCTAATGTCTTATATTAAGTTATAGGGTTTTACAAGAGTACTCCTCATAAAAAACAAGTAGTCAAGTTACTTACTTGATTGATGGCTCCCAACATCTCTGCTCTACTAGCAACCCTGGTCACATACTGACTAAGGCTCTGCAAACATTTCTCCAGTTTCTTAATGATCTCTTGGGCTTGATTATCTTCATCACACAAAGGTGCTAAAGACTGAAGAGAAAATGCAAGTGAACTGAGTACCAAATAAACAAAATACCGGTCCCTAAATTAGCTGCTTGTGACAGGAAATTATCATACTTCCCTTAAATCAGAGTCTGCACTAGCACATATATTCACAGGATTAGTGCCCAACATGTTCAATTAGTGCAAAAGTTAGTGCTGTTCTATCAGCAGCATGGAGTTTGGCTGATTTTCACCAAATACAGATCTGTCTCTTGGACATTTACTTTATGCTGTTGTCAATGTGAAACCATTCACTGAAACACAGTAGCTTCCTTTTTAGCATGCAATACATCCAATGGTGCAGAAGAACTTCAAATGCTAAATATCTTTAATGTTCGAGATAAGCTACTTTATGGGTGCATCTACATGAGATGCTTTGAGCACACTAAATTCTACTGTGCATTAGTGCAGCAAGCAAAACCCATGCTAATGTGCAGTAGATTTAAATCTACTGTGGATCAGATGTCACAAAAAGAAGGTATCTTTGCTCTAATGCTCAGTAATGCTAATTATGGTGCATGTAGTACCCATCTGTAGGTACCAAAACTTAACGTGCTGTAATTACAGCACATTAATGAGCATGTAGATGCACACTATGTGCATATATAAAACCAAAATAAAATTGCTATTAAGAAAGCTGTACATCAAACATACATTGTCTAGCCACGTATCCCTTTCCCCTTCCAATCTTATCCACTTCTAACCTCTAGTAGTTTCAGCCCATTAGCGATCTCCTTTTTCAAGTTTTCTTCAGCCAAGTCTCGAGACCTTTCTTCAAGCCGCACTCGCTTGTCCAAGGTAAACAGGTCACATTTAAAGCCCAAAGACAATCTGAGAAACTCTGCCTGTTTTTTTTTTTTTTTTTTTATACAGAAGAGAGCTATCAGAACAGACCTAGCAACATAAGTCCAATCACTATTAAGAAGTTACTCAAGATAGACCTCCTATCCCATCAACACTCAAGCCAGAGTTGTTGGAGATTGGGAAACAAAGGGTGGAACCAAAATCAGTAGGTCTCAACTTCTACCCAAGGGATTTTAAAAAAAAAAAAAGGAAAGATTTCCTGACTGCCAAATCTCAAGTGATAAGTAAGTTTGCAAACAGAGTAGCTTCTTCTCCAACATAGGTCATTGTTGCCTTGTGCAACAGGACTAGACAGTTCAACCTAAAATGAGTGGTACAATTGGTATACCCTGGTGGGTTTGGATTTGAGAGACAAAGAGAGCTAGGTCCAACAGATCATTTAAAAAAGTTGATCTTGGCTCTACTCTGACCCTGCCTGCCTCATTCACAGGTGCTGCTCCTCACCCACCCACAGCCCTATCCCATGTGCCTGGCCAAGTGGGTCCTGGGCTGGTCTCCATGGAGAGACCACCCACTTGCTCTGTCCAGCACGCCTGGACTACGTAGGGAGTTTTGGTGAGCTCATGGGCGGGGGAGGGGGGGGGGGGTTGACCTGATTTTCAAAAACTCCACAAACCCACGACCCAAATAAAAAAAATTTCCCCCCCCCTATTTAGGGGCAT